CTCAAGCCTAAGAGTTTGAGGTTACTGTGAGCTATGCCACTGCAGCACTCTACTGAGGGCGACATAGTGAGACTCTGTCTCAAAAAAAAAAAAAAGATTGCCCCAAGGAAAAGATTCAGGGCTGCCCTTGGATTTTTTGGTAGCTTTTTCTCTTCAGAGACCTTCTGCCTGACTGTATCTCTGTTCCCTAGGGTGGCTGAAGTCCTGGAAGGCAAAGGAGCAGGGAAGAAAGGTCGTTTTCAGGGCAAGGCCACCAAGATGAGCCGGCGGGCAGAGGCGCAGGCGCTTCTCCAGGACTATATCAGCACGCAGAGTGCTGAGGAATGAGGTCTCAAGTGCCTGCCTCCTGTGACCACAGAAGGAGTGTCTTGGATAATAAAATAGTTTGACTCGGAATGATTGTGACACCACTTATTATTGTATTTTTATTTTTTTTGAGACAGAGTCTTACTTTGTCATCTTTAGTAGAATTCCATGGCGTCAGAGCTTACAACAACCTCAAACTCTGGGGCTCAAGTGATTCTCTTGCTTTAGCCTCCAGAGTAGCTGGGACTATAGGTGCGTACCACAACACCGGCTATTTTTAGAGACTGGGGGGTCTTGCTCCAGCTCAGGCTGGTCTTGAACCTGTGAGCTCCTTCAATCCACCCTCCTCGGCCTCCCAAGTGCTGGGATTACAGGTGTGAGCCACCACACTCAGCCGACACCATTTATATCTGATTGACTAATTTGTACAGTGTACTCCAGTATGCTTGTTTGGTTAGTATATGTGAATAAATAGGTCTCTAATTTGGCCCCTATTAGGCATATCCTACATGAGTGGGCATTATGTTGATGAAATGTACTGGTTTTCCTAAACCCAGCTGTAACCTGTCTTCACATCCAGTTGCCTAAGGAAAGTATAGGTCAGTCTGGAGCAGGGGTCCTCAAACTTTTTTTTTTTTTTTTTTTTTTGAGACAGAGCCTTAAGCTGTCCCCCTGGGTAGAGTGCCGAGGCATTACAGCTCACAGCAACCTCCAACTCCTGGGCTCCAGCGAGTCTCCTGCCTCCGCCTCCCAAATAGCTGGGACCACAGGCGCCTGCCACAACGCCTGGCTATTTTTTGGTTGCAGCCGTCATTGTTGTTTGGCGGGTCCGGGCTGGGGATTCGAACCCACCACCTTAGGTGTACGTGGCTGGCGCCCTAGCCGGTTGAGCTATAGGTGCCGAGCCCTCAAACTTTTTAAGTAGAGGGTTAGTTCACTGTCCCTTGGACAGTTGGAGGATTGGACTGCGGCCCCAAGATGAGTCGGCCGCTAAGCAAGACAGGCAGCGATGGCAAAAACACCCAGGATTGGACTGGGCCAGATAAATGTCCTAGGCGGGCTGCATGTGGCTAGGCTGTAGTTTGAGGACGCCTGGTCTGGAGGCTTGACCTATAGGCTTAGTGTTCTCATTCAAATCTTATTTCCTTCTTTGTTGCTTTTCCCAGTCTTGTGTTTCAGAACTAAAAAGTATCAGTGACTTTGCAAATAGGTCAAAAAGCCACAAAAGTATATAGTAGAATGATGCCCCAAGTAAGTTACTGAAGCAGTTAGAAGATGGAAAATGCAAGACTAACCCAAAGAAAGTTGCTGTGCCAATATTAGTATCAGACAAATTAGACTTTATGGCAAGAACAATTATTAGAGATCAAGAGGGACATGTAATGATTATAACAGTTCTAAATTTGTGTGCCTCTCATAATAGGTTGAAAATACATAAAGCGGACACTGACAAATCTCAGAGGAGAAATAGACAAACCTACTATTAAGAGCAAACTGATACTCCCCTTTCAGTAACTGATAGAATGAGTAGAAGCATAATGCCATGGTCAGGAGCATAGGCTTTGGACTTCTGCAGACCTGGGTAGAAATCCTGCTTTTGTGTGTCCACAGGTGGTTAACGATAAAGATTGGTTACAATTTTATTTATTTATTTATTTGAGACAGAGTCTCAAGCTGTCACCTTGGGTAGAGTGCTATGGCGTTACAGCTCACAGCACCCTCAAACTCTTAGGCTTAAGTGATTCTCTCTCTCTCTCT